GGAGTCAGTGAACCTGTTAGTGTCCCAGAGGAGCACATGTCATTTGGCAAGCTGGGATTTTCCACTGAGCTGCCATACTTTAGACGCTCAGCTTGGGAGGGAACTGTACTGAAACTGCATGAAATGAACGGTAATGAGTGTACTTACACTGGGGGTGTTAACTGAATTAATAAAAAAACACTTGTTGCACTGCAGGAGGTCTGGTTCGTTTTTTTATTCCCCTCCCTTTTCAGTTCTTTTTGCCGCCTAATCTGTCTCGGCTCCGGGCCGTAGGCTGGAGCACCGAGGCCTGTTTTGCGGCTGTCCGCCTGATTGCCTTAGACTGGTTTATGGGCTCACACCTCCTTTTGGTGTCTCTGAAGTCTAAAGGAGACCTGGAACTGCGTAACACTCAGGAGACCTGAACTGAGCTGAAAAACAGCCCATCTGGGTTCAGCTCAGCCTGTGCTGCACATCACATCTGTGTGGCTGGTTCAAAGCAAGTACTGCACTGACATTAAGCATACAAATTATTTTGGAATATTATATGCTACTGACTAAAAAGTCAGCGCGATTAACAAAGTGGAGGAGGAGGAGGAGAGTTCTGGAAAGTGGCCAAATGGTTAACAGGCTTGTTCTGTGTCAAAATGCAGAGTTTGCTGCAGTTTGATACCTTGGCCGCGTCTTGATTATTTAGCCAGTGCGAGAATAATATTTACCACACTGCTCTATTCTAGATCTTATCTTGTTCTCAGTTTCATGACCTAGTGATTAAATTGTCTATGAGGGGAGATTGGGAGGGTTGTGTAATTGGCGGAAAATTTACCGTGATGATGTAATATTTTCGGGGCCTATTTGCATTTGCACAGTGCGACTAAGTAAATGTTAAGTCTTAACGGCCTTTACCCATAAATTAATGATGTGCAATTTTTAACAACCGTGAGGCATTTAAGTGAAGTGATTTGACTCAGTGTAATACTTACTTAAGGATACAGCTCAAGACACACGATCTTTTTATTCAAACATTGTCTGATTTTTTTTTTCCCTCCACTTTTTCTAACTTCAGTGAGAGTGTGTGAGAAAGAGAATTCCCGTATCTTCTCCGGTACGTCTCATCTCACTGCGGCAGCAGGGTCTCCCATCCGATAGAAAAACTTCCAAATCCATAATCGGTGGGATTACTGTGCAGCATGACTCGCTGACTGGTTTAACCTGATTGGAACCGGTACAGGAACTGGGGAATTGGGTTAAATGGTCTGGGATCAACTTCACAATAATCCCTTCGACCGTGTCTTTCTGAGTCTTACTACTGCATTAATCACCGGCCTGATGGCCTGTGAAGAAAAGCCTCTGCATTGCTGCAGATCAACACGCTCCTGTGAACCACAAAGGTGTGGGAAATTCTCCCCCTGTGCCTGTCTGCACCACTGTGATGGTCAACCATTGGCACTTCCATGCAGAATGCTTGTGTACAGCAGGATCCACGCTAACCTGGTGGGACTGACACCCCTAAAGGTTGTGTAATGGTTACCGCTTAATGGGGATTGTGGATCCATTTTTTTCCGCTCTGGGAGGGTTGTTCTGCTCCATTTCAGCACTACATCTTCATAACGTTGCCTGGTTTGAGACTGAGCAACTTTGGGAAGTGGCTTAAGGTGTTAAATTTGTCTGAACGGGCTAATGATATTGCCGTGTTGCAAGTCTTTGTGTTCATACTGCGGTAAAAATTGTAATTGAATTTTTGGCTTAAGGCAGTAACCTAGAAAGAGCCGCCTGGGTTAATGACATGTGGAGGTGCCTTATTTTAGTACAGCTGTGGATCAGAGATCTCTGCCTGACATTTAGACATGCACAGAAATGCTAAGGATTGTATTGGGTATCATCAGATCTGTCTGATAAGTGGTTATCCACTTGTAGGCAAGATCCTGGAGTCCTGAGAGCAAGTCCATGTTGGAAGATGTTCTTGAGAAACATGATGTTTATCTGGAATGCTTAGAGAAGGTAGCCTGCCTGATCCCAGAGCATGTGGGAGTCATGTGGTCCGCATCACTTCTGATTCAAAACAAGACCGAAGCAACAAGATTCATCATCATATTCATACCGCTTCTCTGGTGTGGGCCGTGGAGGCAGCATACAGAGCATTTCAGACCATACCTCTCTTTCCAAAGCCACAGACTACCTCCGTCCTTCTGAGGGAGTCCCAGATGGTCCCATACCATCTGTGAGTTATAATTCCTGTGGGGTGTCCTGGGCCTGCATTGGGGCCTGGTGCCCTGAACAACTCCCCATGGACACAACCAGGTTGGCATCCTTGTGAGATGCCTGAAGGAGCAGCGGCTTTTTTCAAGGTCCTCTGGATCTCTGAACTCCTCACCCCATCACAGAGAGAGTGCTTGGAAACCCTGGAGAGAAACCTGATTTCCACCTGGATGAGAAACCTTGTTTCACGCTGACAATCCTGCAAAGAAACCATATTTCTAGGCTCGAGAATAAGTAGGTGCTCAATAACAATAGGTGAGGGAGGTGACATAGGTTGACTGGAAAGCCTTTATACCTTCACAAAGGACAAAGTGTCCCCCTCTCACCTAAATGAAGCAATCCAGTCTTGTCTGGTTGGGCACCAAGGCCAAGGAGGATTCTCATCTCCATGTCTTCACATTGAGCAACAAGTGGCTGATGTGCATCGTAGAAGTCCTGGCTGGATGAGAGTAAAAGTATGTCATCATCTTCTAGACCCCCGTGTAGTACATGCTTCCAGTCGCAGCTGTGCCTTTGACATCCTGTCCATGAAAATCACAAGTGGAGATAAGGCTCACCTTTGTAGGAGGCCAATACCCACTCTGTACACCTTCGATTTAGTGTTAAGGATGCAGACACGACTCTTAATACCTTCACAGTGGGACTGAAGAGCATGTAGTAGTGCCACCAGTATCCCATATTGTGCTGGGTCAAATTGTAATATGCAGACCCTCACTGCTAGAGAGGGAGTAGAATTGGTCCTCTGTTTTCACAGTCAGGCCGATTGCATATTGTTCCTTCTGAATCCTAAGTTTGATCATTGAAGGGAGTCTTCTCTGAAGGACCCTATAAGTTATAGGATGCAAAGTTGTAATACATTCTCTAGTTCCTCCTTTTTTAAAACATTCCCAATAAATCTGGCTCCTCTTGCCCCATCTGGTCTCCTAAACATGCATCCAACTGTCATTAGGGCTCAGTTACTATATCTGCCACTCTATTCATCCAAGTATCCAGCCTCAAATCAGCTAATTCAACTGCAAAGTTAAACTCTAGAGTAGGAGACAATCCACTCCTAACCAAAAGGTTGAGTTGCTGAGCCCACACTATGCAGGAAAATGATATTTACAATATCTCCAGCATTAGCTTCTTCCCTGTCATGTTCCCAAAGCTGTTGTCCATTGGCAACATCTGATGTACCCCTCTCATGTTTGCCATGCAAATGAGGCTGCACCTGACCTCCACCTTTCACCTCACAGGTGGTGAACCTAAGGCAGGGGTCTCCAACTCCAGTCCTGGAGAGCTACCGTCCAGTAGGTTTTCTATCATACCCGGCTTCTGATGAGCCACACCTTTACCTCAGGTAAATACCAGGAGCAGGTGTGGCTCATCAGAAGCCAAGTGGGACAGAAAACCTCCTGGATAGTAGCTCTCCAGGACCGGAGTTGGAGACCCCTGACCTAAGGGATGAGCCTGTCCAGGTTATGTGGATGCCCTGTCACTTAGTAGCAAACTCCACCCCAGGATTTCAGAAGTGGGTTTTGGTAGTCCTTGGCCGGGTACTCCGGGTTTTCTTGGTAACTTTCATGTGGGGTTTTTGTTTGACTTTAGTTTTCCCATTTTCTCCTCACAGACCTGTTCACCAGGGGAGGTTCTGTCAGGAATGTAGGCTCCAGATGACTTAGACCTGTGGATTGTTGAAGTTTACAAACCCCCTGACATCACACCATACACCATAGTCACAATCCTTGGGGGGGGGGGGGGTGTGTTTGGGTGGGATTTCCCTCTGGGGTCAATAAAGTTTAATTGATGATCTAATGTAATACACTTTTCTGATGTGTAAAGGAATCGTGCGTCAGAATGTGCGTCTCAGTGTTTTTAGGCCACTTGTCTTAACGGATAACTGTGTTGATTACTTGACTTCCCATAGATAGTACTTGGTTTTCGCTGATTTCATTCATATTTGTGGTATGGGGATGGCAGAAACTTTAGTGTGTTTGTTTGTTTGTTTGTATGTATATAATATAAAGTTTATTAAGGCTGTAATACTGTTTTTATTTTTTAAGTTTATAAATGATTTTGTCAGCCTTTGCAGCACTCTGTCTGTGGGTTATAGAAGTTGAAGGTTATTCACAATATGCCTGTCGTTTCAAGAGGAGGAACAGTTTTTTTTTTTTTTGACATAGGGCGGACTGTTGTTGTCTGACCACGATATAGCTCTGTATGATCTGTGATAGCCCGCCTCCTTCCCCAAAAGCTAACGTCAGCACAAGTTTTCCAATGACTGTAGACACCCTCTACCTGCCAATATTCCGTGATTCCTCCCTCCAAAAGGCATCGATCCTCACCCAGAAGTTTTTACGACGTGTTCGACCTGGAAAGTGCCCAGGATCACCAGTCTCTGGTGTCCAGATAGCCTTGCTGTAAGTGCTGGGGAAGCAGGCCAAATTGTTGGTCGCCATCCAGGAACAGATAAATAACTCTGTGCAGACATGGGAATGCCGACATGTGCACTTGGTCTATCCCACCCGCTGAGAGCTGAGCCATGTGTTCACAGAATGTACTGGAGGACCTCTGCACTACCCTGCGAGCTTATGAGGAGATGACTCCTCTGCATTAGTGCGTGCCCAGTTAGCCGGAAATAAGGGTGAAGGAACAACCTTGTATGTTGCGAGTCAGCATTACGTTGTAGGTTTTCTTGCTTTGAGGAATAAAATCAGTTGAAGTTCTTTCTCTTGAAATATGGGTTCACTTGTGCCTGTACTAATAATGTTGTTGCGTTTCAGAACTATGGGACTGGCCCCACCTCCGCACCAGTCATCGGACACAAGAGCATGGTGATTCCCAACCAGCCTCCCCTGACGGCAACCAAGAAGTCTACAGCCAAGCCTCAGACCCCAACTGCCTCTCCAAGCACGACTGCCAAGCCCCAGGCCCAGCCCCAGGCTCAGCCCCAGCCCCAGGTTCAACCCCAACCCCAGCCTGTTCCAGCCTCCTATACCACTACCTCCACCCCCAGTCGACCAGCCATCAATGTCCAGGTGAAGACTGCCCAGCCCAGCCCCCATTACATGCCCCCGGGCCCCCCCCAGCCCCCTCACCAGTTCCCTTAAAGTCAAATGCGAATCATGCCTCCAATTCCAGCCCCAGCCCCATATGGAGCCCCCCAGCTCCGTAACAGTGCTGATTTTGCCTATGGGCCACCTCAGCCCAGCTACACTCCTCAGCCTCTCAGAGGGTACCCAGAGCAGCACTACCCAGGCATGCTCCTAGTGCTGGCATATGG